AGATGAACAATAACACTTTCTAAATAATGGGCTTGTTAGATTTTTATTTTTAATCGGATAATAGAATGTCACGTGGTCACTATGGAAAGATTTTTTAAAAATTTGTTGTAGCCTCATTGTGTCAGTTCTATCTTTTTTAAAGTTTAAATTTTAAATTTAATGAAGTATGTTTAAAAATATGTCATTTGCCAAAATATTTAAAAATGCAGCTTAAGGGAAATTTCCTTGTTGAGCATGAATGTCACATGGTCACCAACGTCAATGTAACATAAGTTCAATCATCAATCTGAAATCAATAAAATGTTTATTCTATAGCTAATATTTTCGCAAAATAAGTAGCCTATACTATATATTGGCCACTTCAGCATGAAAGGCATTGTTGGTGTCATCTTTTAGCACTAATGTTAAAAGAAATATTTTAGTTGTAAAAAACATACTATGACCAATAAAAGTAACCTCACTAAAGACAATTTAGGTGTCTATATGAGACTAACCCAATGTTTTTAACTTTTTCTAATAGTGGCATCCTTAACTTGGTAATTTTTTTTTTGTATGTCATCCCTACTTTACCAACATAGAGTTATTGTACTTTTCAAATATTTAGGATTACATTTAAGAAATGTCATGATGATGATTTGGCACTATATTTCATGGAACTGATGAACTGTTGTTGCATCCCTCTAGTGTGTGCTGCAGCATTCTGGTTGAAAAAACCACTGGACTAATCATTAACTCATCAGCAATCAACAATATTCACACTAATGATATGTATCAAGAAGATAAATTTAGATTATTCCTTTTTACAGAAATTTATTTTTAGTAATAAAATATTGACAAAAGTATAATTTTTCTGTAAAAATTATTAGTAAATATATTATTGAAATATGCATAATTTTTTAATTTATGCAAATAATTTATAAGAATTATACAAATAAGTGATGACCTTAGTTACAAATAATCACTCTTTTTTCCACCTTTTTATAGTTGACATCAAATCAATTGACTGTTTTTCTTAATTTGAATTAGGCTTTTTTAAGTAAATGTTAAAATATTGAATATTTTAGTTTTTGCTATTAAGAGAAAGCTATATAAACAGCTTTACATAAGAATGGAAAAATTATAAAGCATTGTGAGTTTTGAAGGTCATCATGGATGTCAATAGGGTGGTGCAATGGTAAACTGGTGCTTACTTTAAAATCTCCTTGCCCACCTATCCACCATCCTATTATAATTTTTCAAGTCTAAAAAATTTACACACCTGAACCATTTACGGTGCGATCATGCAAAAGATGTAGAAATCCGTTTGATCATCGAACAGATTTCTACATCTAACGGATATCGAACATCTTTATAGAAACTGATTGGAACCTGAAGCAGAGCCCAGAAGGGGTTCGAAAACGTTTGTTTACTGATCTTTTGCATGATTGCACCGTAAATGGTTCAGGTGTGTAAATTTTTTAGTCATTCCGGTGTGATAAATAGTGAATTTATTTTTCAAGTCTACCTATATTGTGTACTGGCTGTTACCCGCGACTTTGCCTGCACGGATTTTGCAAGTAAACCCCATTTATATTCAGTACTAGCTGCAAGGACCCATTTTGCTGGATTTTTAAAAAGTAACGATAGTGAAGATTAAGATAATTACATTATAGCCAATCTTACCGTTTTCACAGAATGCAAGAATTAGGTCCCCCGTTTCCAGACTAATTAGAGACCTGGTCCCGATTCTATTTCTGGACGTCTCCTGTTCACGTCAAGTCAAACGAACTATTTTCAACGTTTCTGGAATGTTTACAATCATTCTATAATCGAACCAATATTCGAACAAAACATTCGAAATAGAAAGCCACTTTCAACCACTTTCAGCCCCATAGTTCCCACACCCTTATAGCTATCAAGACGCAACCTCCCTGGTGAACAAATGGAGGCTTGGGGCTACTACCACATACAAACACCATTCATGTGCGATGTGTAGTTTTGGCGGAAAAGTGAAATATAGGGACATACATGTCCATATATATATATATATATATAGATTTCAACAACCATAGTAATTGTTATATAACACCTACCGCTGAGAATGAAATGAAATGTTTTTACTTTGATAAATTTTCTGGAATGTTTGCAATCATTCTTTAATCGAATGAATATGCAATAACAAATTTGAATTTAAAACAGTTTGAACATTTGGTTAAAAAATCAAAATACAAGGTCTGTTCAAAAAGTATCGGGCCTTATTTTTTTCCTCGTAAACCAATGATGCGCGAGAGGCCTCCTTCGGTGGAGTTGTAGAGGGGACAGTCATGCACAGCCCTGAATTTTTTCCCGCCTGCAGGAAGCGTCAGTCGTTGGCAATCGGCCTATGAGTGAGGTCATGTAGTGTGCTCTCGTCGGATTCCACTAAGCTGGAAAATGACTGAACAACGTGAGCAGCGATATTACATCAAATTTTGCCAAAAACCTTGGCGATACCCAAGCGTAAACCATTCGCAAGATTCAGCAGTCTTTCGGGGACGATCCTCGAGGCCAAAAAAAGCGCGGCAGGTTTGCAGCAATATCAAAGGTCATGTTGACAGTTTTTTCGACTCTCGTGGGGTGGTGTGTCGTGAGTACACACCACAAGGCCAAACCATCGCAAAGGAGTACTACCAGGAGGTCCTTTGTCGTCTTTCCGATGCTGTGCGACGCAAACGACCGGATCTGTGGTCGATCAAATCTTGGCAGCTCCATCGTGATAACGCATCCGCCCATTCTGCGCATCTGATTCGGGCTTTCGTCGCCAACACAACACTCCTGTTGTTCGTCACGCTCCGTACTCTCCCGACACGGCTCCGTGTGACTTTTGGCTATTTCCCAAGCTGAAAATGCCGCTAAAAGGATGCCGAATTTAGTCGAGAGAAGACATCATGCAAAATCCGACGGACCGGCTGATGGCCATTCCAAAAGATGCGTTCCAGCAGTGTTTCCAGCAATGGCAGGAACGCTGGGAGAAGTGTATACACTACCAAAGAAACTACTTTGAAGGGGATTAGGGTTTTGTACATCAAAATCAATAAATTTATTTTTGCCGACCAAAGGTCCGATACTTTTTGAACACACCTTGTATATAAAAATATAACAATGTCTATGTTATCAATTTAAAACACCTAAGTACTCAATGAAGACTAAACATAGTTGAAAACAAAAAAATCACATCTAAAATAGTACAATAGAAGCCATTCTTCAGGTTAAGTCTTAATTCTTTCCCTCTCCCCCGCAGGGGAAATTTTGAAAAATCCCTTCTTAGCATGCATTTTCATGACATACCCTATCTGTGTACCAAATTTCACCTCTAGGTTCAGAGGTTTGCTCTGGGCAATGATGAATCAGTCAGTCAGGACAAGTAATTTTATATATTTAGATTATAGGGAGATTTCTTTAAATATAAATTGATTGTTTGCCAAGTAATTATACATTCTCACTAAACTTTTTTCAACTTTATCCTTACTAAGAATTGATCACTAAATTCTAAAAATTAGTTTTTTGATGATATAATGTAGAGATAATACCTGCCCCAAAAAACAATGTTCCATGTCATCTCCACCCTCCCATAATGAAAATCTTAATGCCATTACATTTTGGTTTATGACTGAGAATATTTTTATGTATTTGAAAGTCATATTAAGTTTTGTTATTTAAAAACAAACATTACTGAATATAATAATCTTTAATTTATTATAACATTTTACAATAAATATAATAATGATATCATATTGGTTAAAGATCAGATGTTTAAAATCACTATAATTGAATGTTTTTATTGATTATATATTTGATGAATGATGGCAAGTGAAAAATTCACATGTCTAATTTTTCTTAATTACATGTTGACAGTTTCAAATTTACTGTGTGTATCAATAGGAAACAGTTGCCTTTCATTTAACATCACTATGATAGACTTCAAATTCATCCTACTTTTCTTACTGAAATTGAAATATCCTGCTTTTTAAAAAGTTATCTTTGTCTTAAAGTGATAATACAGGATTAATTTTTTCTAAATGAAGCATATTCTATTGCTATTTCTTCCTCTACTTCTATATGTAAGATTTTGTGAATCACTAAAAGATAAAATTTAAATGTTTAATTTAAAGAAACTTGAAAATTATATCTGTAAATCCCAACAGTTTTTCTAGTATTAAAGTCTTAATGAAAATCATGAGGGAAAGATTTTGGATGTAGGCTTTTCTAAGCTGCCCTACCAATTTTCATTCAATTAGGGAGTTTTTACTGATTTTTAATTAACAGTAATAATTCCAGGACCGATATAATTCATTAAATTTTCTGCTTTTATTTGCACTAAAGCACTTTGGTTTTATATATACTTTTAGCTCTAATAAAAGAAGAAAATCAGTCATTTTAATATATAGTGAAATTTCCATTTCAACATTTTTTAGCTGATCTTAGTTCTGATTTTAGTACTCGCAATTAGTGCTCTATAAAAACAAATTTAGGATTCAATTTAGCATATCTTAATTTTATGTTAAACTGTTATGTTGGACATTCAAAGAGGATTTAACATTTACAAGGTAGAAAATACAGTGGATGATTTTTGGGTCTCAAATTTTCTAGTATTTTTATTCTAAAGAAAACAAAAATTAGAAAATTTTGCAACTCGTCCTATTTTGCAGGAGCAGATGTTTTCTAACCTTTTAGGATATAATCTACAAACCTATTCTTTTTCTATAATTTTAACTTGATTGATATTTAAGATTTAAAAAGAGCACAGAACAAACAAATACAAAATAATAATAATAATGTTAGAATAATTTTATAGCAGTGCTCGCTCCTACTGTGTTTCAAGGCTTAAGTAAAAAAAGTAGGAATTTCTAGACAAAAACAGTCTCTGTAAATTTTTTACCAATTCATGAGAAAAGTGTAAATCTAGAAATAACTATTACTCAGATTAGTAATTTTATATGAAACTTAGTAATGATTGTAAATTATTATATTTTTCTTTTTAGTGGAAATGGTGGAAGATCATTAGCTGAAGCATGCAGTGATGGAGATGTTGGAACAGTTAGGAAACTGCTAGATGAAGGAAGAAATGTAAATGAAATTACAGAAGAAGGAGAATCTCTCTTGTCTCTAGCATGTTCTTCAGGTTATTATGAATTAGCACAGGCAAGTGACGAGTTACAAAGTTATTATGATTATGAAATTATTAATGAAATAATTTTAAACCCTCTGTGACATATGGTGTCTCGGACCTCACAGTGAATATTTTTCAATATTTCTCATATTTAAAATTTTCACTAAAAAAAAAAACATGAAAAAAATTTCTACCTTCCAACTTTCCAACCAGGATAAGATGCAGTTGACAGTTTTTCACTGCACAAATACTTTTCATGAAAAAATGCTGCCATCTGAGAGGCATCTTGTGAGCATTTGTGTAATATCTCTTGCTGGAAAATGCATAGATATTCACACTTGTGACTGTAATTTACATCACTTCATTAGCAATTATGAATTTTTTTTTATTTGTGCCAATATTTTTTAAAAGATATTAAGGTATACTGTTTCTTATATTCTGCATCTATTCTCTGGTATTTTCCCATTTCAACACAACAAAAATGCAAAGTGATGATATAGACAGCATTCCAATTAATTTTAGACAAAATGTTGCTCAAAGCATAAAACATAACAGAAATTAAAAAGAAAAATAATAATAATTTTAATGGCACAAATTGAATTTTAAAATATTTGCTTATTTTGTAATAATGCTATCAAGGTAACATAACAAATTCATTAATTTGATAAAAATTTTCATGCCAAATTTTCAATGGTCCATACATTACTTCTTAAATTGCTTCATTTCAAATATAGAAAACATTCCTGATTGAACAATTAGCAAAAAGTTTAATGCTTTCTGTAATAATTGAAGCAATATTAATTTTTAGATTAAGATAATTAATTTTTGATAACTGCATAACTACATCTCATTAAAAAACAAAATAATCAGTTATGACAAAAATACTTGTTAAATTATAAAGAAAACTTGTTTTTGAATGAAATACAACTGTCAATTTTGAAGTGAAAGCTTTTGTTTACAGCCTAATAAAACTTTTCATGGTTTGTTAACTTCTTGAGTATGGGTCGCTGCTGGCTCTACTGCTAATCTCTCTATAAATAAATATTTTTTTACATTGACCTTGAAAGGAAACATCCCCTCCAATTACAAACAAATCTGATATCAATGCATGAAACATGAGAGAATTTTCAGTGAAATAAAATCTGATGTTTATTTGTTACTTTTTCAGATCAAATTACAAAAAATAAATATAAAAATAATATGCATTTTTGTCAGTCCACAAGTACTTTGATATTAAGACAAAATACAGAAATAAACAGTAGCATCTAAAGATGCTAAGTGACTCAACTAAGACAGTTGACCTCAGCAATATATTTAGGGTTAAATTAATTTATATTTTCAAGAAAATAATGAAATTTATTACTACTAAACAACCATAAAATTTAGTATTATAGTAGTAAAAAAATTAAAAAACAAATATTTACCTTTTATTATATTTGTTTCCTAAAATGAACAATTTTATTTTTTTTATTTTATTCATTTATATTTCTAGTTTGGTCATCTGAAATGAATGGCATAGTATAAATTATTTATGAATTGTTAACTTTTTACTTGTTAACCTTTTTAAAGCATGCAAACATAATAGATGGGTTTGCTAGAAGCCCTTTTTTTAGTTTATTTAATCAACTTATTGAATTAAAAACAATTCTACAATAAGAATCAATATATAAAAACTTTTTGATATCATTAACATTTTCTCTCTTTCTCTTCATGAATATGAAGAATATAGGTTAATCTCATTTTTTTGTTTGGGTAACTACATAATTTTTTTACTTGATTATAAATAACTGGAATCAAAAAATATAAATTCTAAAGTTATTTATTTTTAGATTTAATAAATTATGTATTCAACAAAACAAAAGATTTGTCATTAGTTGTTTTTCATATTTTTTGCTCTAATTGAATTGAATTTTTGTTGTAGAATCAGTCAATCCAAATACAATTAAAATCCAATCTTTGAAATTCCAGCAAGAGGTTTATTAGAATAAAAACGTTTTGATCAGAAGTTACTGAACTTCTGTAGTCACATAACATTTGAAAATAATGTAACATTAAAGAACATAAGATAAATTTAAATTACCTGATATCAAGTTTGAAAAATAGAATACATGAGGTTTAATACTTGTCCTGATAGAAACGCAATATTATGTTTTGCGAATTGTTTTGGGAAAAATGACAATGTAATAGTACATTTTTCAATATATCAAGTTACTTCTAGCTTTAAAAAGTAACATTGTTTTCAGGAATCAAAAAACTAATTTTGTGTATGTTAATTAACAGTAGCACTATTTCTTCAGAAATTTAAAATAAAAGTTTTTTTCTTAGAACAGTGTGCATTGTTTAATTTATAGTTTTGTCACCATATTCTGCAAGCGAATTTAGAGTTGTTTTTTGTATATGTGAATAAAGTTAAGATTTGACACACAAATATACTGAACAGGAATTGTTTGAATTTATTAATGAAGAAATAAATCAATATAATTGTCACTATATTTGTTTATATGATGAACGTGAAGCGATTATGTTTTATGCTTAACTGAAAATCAAAAAATAAGTCATGTACAGTAAGACCCCGCTTAACATAGGGATGCATTCCCAGACAACGAACCGCTAAGCGAAACAGTGTTAAACGAGGTCATTTTAACATAGAGTAAATAGGGACAGGAACATACGACCAAAAATAAACAAAATTTACTTTAATTTTAAGTTATATTATTATACAAGTTAATATAAAAATATGTTAAATAACACACAAACATATGCATACGGAAATGTAAAGTTTATTTTTTGTGATGAATGTCCTGGCTTTTTCCTGAAAGTCTTGTTTTTTGCGATAGTCGTGAAGTTTTATTTGTCACTTTTTTCTTCTTTCCTTAAGCAAATGTCAGTAGCAGAAGATTGCATCAAAAATGCCTTGTTTTGCTTTTGCACTCCTTTCAAAATCTGGATCATTTGCTACAATTTGATCAACAATTTCAATTATCTTACCAAACTTTTACTAAGAAAATCTGTAGAAAAATTTTTTGGGTTCTTTGTTTTAAGAATCTGTTTTCCAGTTCTACATGGATTCCTTGTTCTGCCAGTTCTTGAAGGTCATCATTGGTAAGGCTCTCACCAGAAACCTGAAGTAACTCCTCAATATCCTGCTCGTCTATATCTCCTAGTCCTGCTATATCAATTAGGTTGAGTTTGGTCAACCTAATATACAGAAATAGACTCTTCTTGTTGAGAATTCTTGGATACTTTCAGCTGTAACTTCTTCCACACTTTGTTTATGCATTTATCAGTTAATTCTTGCCAAGCAAACATCATGTTATATTTTTTTCCAAAATTGCACCAAACAAACAGATTTAAAGAAAGTACATCTTTTTGCCATCTTTTGCTGATTGGTTTGTGTTTGCAAATAATCATATTATATACAAATCAATGGACTGCTGTGATAATTTAAATCATTGTAAATTTTGAGCTTTTTTAGGCTTCGAGCAGACTGCGTTATATTGAATCAGCGTTAAGCAATGTAGTGCTAAGCGGGACCTTACTGTAATTACATTATCATTTTAAAATCTATATAGCTAATATAATATAATATGTAATTTATATACTGTATAGATATTCTCAGTGCAAGAGTCGGATTTATATATTTTTGACAGTGCTTCCATCTCGTTTACTACAGTATTTGGTAAATCAATATAATTACAAAAACAGCTAGTCAGAGCCCAGTCTACTAATGATATTGATACAGTACTTTATTATTAAAAATAAATTCAGCAATGTACTATATATTTGTTAGTTAAAAAGACAAATGTTAGGAGCTTTATTGCATTTTTTTTAATTTTATTTCTATCTCTAAAACATGTCCAAATAGCGCTTTTCATTTAGCTTTAGTCAATTGTTTGTTACTCTCAGTTGAAAATACTGTAAAATTGCTTAAATCAGCCAGCATACAGCAAAGAAACTAGGTCAACAGAACCAGCATGTTAAGTGTTAAATAAAAGAGAACATGAAATAAAATAAAAGTTAGGAAATATGAAAATAATGAAGAATATAAACATAATGCTGAGAAGCTGAAAAAGAAGCTGAGTGGATATCCAATTTATTGATATCCAGTTTATAAACATAATGTATATAAATAATAATTATGATTTAATATGAAGAAATAGATAACTAACATTGGACCAATTAAATGTCATAAAGTGACCGCCATGTGTTTGAGCATGCATCTGCATCATGCTGATCGATGTAGGTGGAACTCATATTAGCTTTATATTGATAAATCTGTAAATTTTATAATTGATTAAGATAACTGATTTGGAGGTAGGCTTGATCAAATAGAATCATGTACATCAAGGTGGTGAGCATCAGCTACCAATGTTGTGTTAGATAGGTTTTTGTAAAATGCATATTTGTGTTTCTTGAAAATAGCAAAATATGACCTACTTGAACCTATAACTGGTGCGTAGAGAGGTAATCTTTCAAAATGATGTGCGGATGATGTCTTATAATGTGTTCCTTGATTCTTTGTTCCATGTTATGCTTAGTAGCACTTATGAAAATAAGTTTAATTGCAAAACAATGGTTGTCTTTTGGGATAGAATAAATCCCAGAGGCAGTGTTGCCTCTATATATCAGTGTGCATATATATATTTATTAATCACTTAAAATGATCAGTAAATATGGTCAAAAACATTTTTGTCCTAATAAACCTCTTGCTGGAATCTGAAAGGTTGGATTTTGTGTAGTTTTTTAGAAAATTACATTATGTAAAAAGTAAAATACTTTGATATATTCTACCTTTGGTTTAGTTTGATCCAACAGGTTTAAAAATAAATTGGTTCATTTGTACATTAACAATTCTTGGATTATGTTGGTTTGGAAAAGTAACTTAATACAAAACAATTTCATTTTGACAGATTGCTTGGGCTGTCGAAAATTATCTGTTGTCCCAAGAATTCATTATATCATGAACAACAGATTTCCCTGCACACCCAGGAAAATATTCGTTATTTGAAAAAATTTTTGTTTTTTAACCCCTGTATATAAGAAATACCAGTACTTGAAATTATTCAGTCTCTTGAGATCTCTATTCTTTATCCTACAGAAACACGTGTGTTTATAATGTATATGTATATTACATCATATATTATTGTATATTATGCCATACATGTGTATGACAAAGCTGATGAAAACTGTTCCTACTGTAAGCATAAAAAGAGGCAAATTACATATGCTCATTAGCACTTTGCTTGACTTCATGATTGGTTAAAAAAAAAGACTCATCCATCTTGGTTTCTTTCAATGCCACTTTTCTGTCTATTGAATACAACACTGCTTGATATTAGCAATGTTATGTACAGTACAGTCTGTTTGTTTATGCTGAAACTCATCAAGAATGTCTTCACGACTTGAAAATATTAGATTGCCTCACTAAATTTCAGCCCTACGCTTGAACCAGAGACAGTGTTCATTAGATGACTTCTCAATCATATCAGCTGGCTGAATCTCATTGTACAGTATAATTCTTCAATTTTATATATCCTAAATGTAACAAGTGCATCATCACACTACACAAATTTTCAGAAACACACAAATATTCACATTTTTCCAATGTTTAGTTAAGTTTACAATAGATTTTGGGTAGAAAAAATCTGTTATTCTGAGTAATGGATCTGCTATAAGGAGGTAAAATTAAATTGATTTGGCGGGGACTGGGGAAAAATACCATTGTTCCGTGATCTGTTGAAATGAGGCTCTACTGTATAGAGTTAGCTGAAAGACAATGATATATAAATCTATCAGATAATTACCAATTTATTTGCATCAGATTTTATTAGTTATTTATTTAGATTAATAGGCCGCCTCCTGTTTTTGGATTATTAGGCATTGTAATTTCAAATTTTAATAATCAGTTATACAGATTTGTTATATGATTGTTATGGTATATTTTCAAGAGATTGTTGCCATAAAAGCTATTTAAATAACAAATATATAAAAGCATTTTCTAGAATAAAATTTTAATAAAAAGAAAAATACAATAAAAAAAATCTTAAGGTTTCAGAATTAAACTAGATACTTGATCAAATTTCTTATGCTTCAAAATGTTTGGCATTAACTGAAGAAAACCATGTGAAAATACAGAACCAATAGATTTAAAATATATACTGAAAAAATAATGAAACAATGAAGTATGATTTCAGAAATATTGGTACTGGAAAAAATAAATAAAACATTTAATTGGAGAAATCTTAATACCATGTGTCAATGATCAGTATTAACATAATTAAAAATAATTTAACTGTGTTATGAAAATTTTGAATTACAGTAGACCCCCCTATAAAACGGGTTCATATAATACAGATTTGTATATAACGGTGAAAAAATTGTGGCTGTATTTGTATAAACACACTAAAAGAAACTCGTATAATACGGTAAAATGTCATTGCCGACTTGTGTCTCAACAGGATTGGTTGAATCTAGACCAATAGCGGATACTGCACAAACCGTTGAGTTTAAATGAGCATTTATTATTTAACGGCCAAAAAATTATATTTATATTAATGATGTCTCCAAAGTTCAGCAAATTTTTCACAGAAAAATAATTTATTGGGAAACACGCGCCCATCATTCGATGCACCGCTCCACGACCAAAACAAGCTTAAGCAATGGCGTTGTCAAACGGTGCACACTCTGTAAGTAATCCTACAATTTTTTTTTGTTTATAGCATAGTTTATACGGATTATTCCCAAAAAATTATGTGTATTTTGGAAATGTGAATCAAATTAGAATCGATTAATTTTATGGAAGAAAACCTTTTCAAACAGCCGTAGTTCCTAAACTGCATACATGCCGGGCTGTGATTGGCTCATGTATTTAAGTGATTGTAAAACACTAATTCATATAAAATGGAATGTATCGACTGTATTATAGGGGGGGGTCTACTGTATGTATATTGTCATCATCAAATCTGAATATATTTTTCTAAATTTTCAGATTTAATTCATTCCTCTTTGGTTTTTTTTAATACCATAAAAAGTATTAATTTAAAAGTATTAATAGTTTATTTTATTAAAAGTTTATGCTAAACTAAGCATTATTTTACTAGCAATGTATAGTAAAAATAAAGAACACTTGTGTCTAAACAACTATCAATCAAAATTTCATTAAGTATTGAGTTCAGTTTAAACATCAAAAAATATTTTATATAAATAAAGATTTTATTTATTACATTTAAAAATGTTTATTATTCATTTATAGCTGCTATTAGCCATGAGAGCTAATGTTGAAGATAGAGGTTTAAAAGATACTACCCCTTTAATGGAAGCAGCTAATGCTGGTCATGGAGATATTGTTAAACTTTTGGTTGGCCAAGGAGCAGATACCAATGCACAGACATCTCAAGGTATTATTTTAAAATAGTAAACATTTTAGATACTTAAATTTTGTAATGTAAGATTATATATAATTTGATATTTGTTTCAGAAAAAATGTTAATATTTAAATTATACATTTTCCATAAAATTTTATTTCAATAGAAGGTTTAATTTTTAAAAGTTACAGAACTCCAAAATTTCTGAAACTGTTGTTGATGACCATTCAAACAACAGTAAAGTAATTATTATTAGATGAAATTTATGTGCAGCAATAATATATTTTTATTCATGAAAACAATCTTAAGATATTGATTGATATTGTGGGTTATTAAATTTTACAAATACGTTAATTATTTAATATTTGAATTATTTTTGGTTATATTTAATAATACAAGATGCATGACTTGTATAAATACTGTACATTACTAATGTATTATATGTAAAATATGCATAATTACTATTCAAATAAATTTGAAAGTAAATGAATTTATATTAAAATTGTATTTATCAGTACATGAAAAAAATACAGAAGGAAACAATATATTTTGTGATTATATATTTACTAGGGAACATACTCAACTTCATTTATTCTGTAAATTTAAAGAATTTTCAATTATCATACTTCTGTTCCAAAAAATTGCTAGATGATTGAAAATAATTTTGTTAAAGTTGGAGACACACACACACACACACACACACACACACACACACAGAGAGAGAGAGAGAGTAAAACCTTGTGTGTCCCTTCATATGCTTTAGGACATTCCTATCTTGGCCACTAAAATGACATTTATCTCCATTTATGTGGCCAAGAGAACAGGAAAAGCCAGCATTTTAAACCCAACCAACAACTCATTTAAAATCTATAAAAACAATTAAGCATTTGTTGTTTTGTTTTAGTTTTGGAATAATTTGCTGAGATCAAGTGTTATTCAATTACAATAAATTTTTATTTACACACAAAAAATTAAATTTATCTCCTCAAAATTAGTAAAAGGATGACTATATATTTGTTTGTTAATTTTATACAATATTTGATTTTGTAAAAATGTGTGTGTAAATTAGCAGTGATCAGTCTACATTACTGATATTTTCACAACACTCAATAAAGAAAAATATTGATTAATATGATGTAAAAGTCAGTTTAATTGTGAAGATTTTTCTGATGATTGGACACTTCTTTCATATTTAGTAACTTCTGTTTAATAATAATCTGAATTCTGCAGATAAAATATGGTATTTAAATAAAACTTTTACTAACATTTTATAAACATAATGATTCTAAATATACTAAATAATTCCACTTAATATTGTAGTGCTATATACGCCAATATTACTTGAATAAACTGTATTGCAAAAAACTTGATTTCACTATACATATGTCATGTATTTCAATTCTCTGTTATTCAGTGTTGATACATTAATCTGTATACAATAATTCAAACTTTTATATTTCAAAGGCGGTATATTGTTACGTGAATTTTATATTTATTTTTTGATTGCTTTTATTTGCATTGAACTTTCAGCAAGATTTAGTACATTACTCTAATAATAGTGTCAGTTTCTTTCATAACTCCATTTATGTGATCACACCACTTATGTGATCAGAAATTCTTACTCTGAAGATGGCCACGTAAGTGAGGTGTGAGTGCGTAGTTTCAATAAGTTATTCTTAAATACAATCAACTCGCATTAATACAAATTTTTAGGGGAACAGTAGTTAGCTTTAATGAAAATTTGTGTTAATGATTTTTAGTGTCAAGGTGGAGTTCAGGCTTAATAGGCAGTTGAAATCTCTAAATGATAATATTTTGAATCAATTTACCTAAATAAAGTTAAATAAAAATTTAAATATTATGACAAATTAATGTTCTAAATGATTTTCAAATCAAACAAAATGAGGAGGAGATGGTAATTGCCATGTAAGTGTGGAACAATATATCAGAATGGTTAAACTAAAAAGGGTAAAAGAAATCTGTGATTTTAATTCTTCATTATATATATACCTGAAGATGTCTGTTATAAACAGACAAAAATGTTTGTAAAAGTGTTAATTTGGGGTAATATATGCTGGTTTAGGTATTTTGTCTTTGTTTAAGAAATCTTCCTCCCCCTGTTGAAGATTGTTTGAAAAAGAAATATATATTTTGGTGCTTAGAGTGAAAAAGGAGCCGAACCTGGCATCACTGTAAGCACTCCCTGATATGCCACATCCATTTAAAGGAATGGGCTTCCTTAAACTTTAACTCCTATTTTCTGGGTACAGAAGAATGGTCTGCTAAAAGCAGATGCTCGAATTCCTCTATAATCAGAGGCCGAGCCCATCTTTGTATACTATAGTCAGCTCAGGGAAACAGTAGACATGAGTCAGCCTCAGCTGAAAAGGTCTCTCTGATGAAAGGAGACATTTGAAAGGAGAAACATGGATTTGATTCCTTCAGCCAATTTGTTTTGTTAGCATAAAAAAAAAAACATTTTTAAAAATATATCTTTATTATAAATAATTTTGTTATACTTCTTTTTACAAATTTTATTACTGTCATCCATGTGTCAACTCCTACATGTCTTATTCCACACTTTCATCTAATAGTCACTTTTCACTCAGACCAACTTATGTCTACTCTTTTGCTTCACTGGCTGTAGAAGAAAATCTATTCTACTCAAAATGGAACATTTATTACACTTCCAAATGTTATTGTTCACATCAAAAAGTGTAAAATAACCACATTTGGAAATAAGGTTTATTTCTTTGGAGTTGTGAAGGTAATTTATAGTTTTTTTATAATTTTTATTCATTTTATCATGTGAGAAGTAACATCGTGATAATGGCAAAATTTACTTTATTGCAAGAATTTGTTTTATTGGAGTTCATTTTAAGAGTGGTTGCACCATGCAGTATATGGAGCATTTGAGATGGATGGAGGCAATTTATATATACAAAACTGCCGAAGATAATAAGTGTATTAACAGTAAGGAAGAGTTTTTCTTATCCGTAGCATGGCAAGCGTTTATATACGATGGATGTTAATACAGAGAAATTGCTACTTCTGAGGAAGGCGCATGCGCAACAATGTCGTCACTCGCACAAGGTTTCTTTCAAATTGTTTTTTACAGAGCTCTCTCAGAAAGTGTTCCATCAAATTTTGGTCCGTTTCTCACCTGAGGAAGAACTTTGTTTGAAAACATTTGTGACAATTTTTTTATTTGAGGAAACACACCGTTTTTGGTTTTTTGGAGGTTAGAGTGGTTGACTGTATCTACATCTAATTAATATATGAAAAGCAAAAAAGTTACAAAATGATTTTTGAAATAAAGTGAATTTAAATATATGTAGAATGTGTTAAATCTTCAGAATTTTTTTCCCCTAAAGTTTACCATGCTTATGTAGAAAAACAGATTGTGAAATTATATTGAAAATATTTAATTTCTGGAAAACAAACTCTGAAAAATAAAACTTAACTACATTTTTAATATTGGAGAACAGATTCAATATAAAAACATACTTTTTTTGTAATAGAAAATTATTTATTGCTTTATTGGAGCAAACATGACAAAGAATTTTAGAATGATAATTTTTAGATAAGTAAATGTAGAAACATTTTTCTTGTGTTGTCCATATTAGCTTAGACAGAAAAATCACTTATTGAGTTATCAATCTCCTATCTCTTTCCATCAGAAAATTTAGATAACTAATTAATGTGCCATATAATACATTTTATTTGTAAAATTCTTTGATTTCCAACATCTAGTTAAATGCCTATACTTTCCAAGCCTAAGAAAATATGAAATGTTTGCTTTTATGTTTAAAATTTTTTATTTTTTAATACATATATTATACATTGTCTTTACAACTTTGAGATTAAACATTAAGATTAAAATCAGGAATTGAAATTTTTTTTCATGTCAAACAAAAACNTATGATTTAATATGAAGAAATAGATAACTAACATTGGACCAATTAAATGTCATAAAGTGACCGCCATGTGTTTGAGCATGCGTCTGCATCATGCTGATTAATGTAGGTGGAACTCATATTAGCTTTATATTGATAAATCTGTAAATTTTATAATTGATTAAGGTAACTGATTTGGAGGTAGGCTTGATCAAATAGAATCATGTACATCAAGGTGGTGAGCATCAGCTACCAATGTTGTGTTAGATAGGTTTTTGTAAATTGCATATTTGTGTTTCTTGAAAATAGCAAAATATGACCTACTTGAACCTATAACTGGTGCATAGAGAGGTAATCTTTCAAAATGATGTGCGGATGATGTCTTATAATGTGTTCCTTGATTCTTTGTTCCATGTTATGCTTAGTAGCACTTATGAAAATAAGTTTAATTGCAAAACAATGGTTGTCTTTTGGGATAGAATAAATCCCAGAGGCAGTGTTGCCTCTATATATCAGTGTGCATATATATATTTATTAATCACTTAAAATGATCAGTAAATATGGTCAAAAACATTTTTGTCCTAATAAACCTCTTGCTGGAATCTGAAAGGTTGGATTTTGTGTAGTTTTTTAGAAAATTACATTATGTAAAAAGTAAAATACTTTGATATATTCTACCTTTGGTTTAGTTTGATCCAACAGGTTTAAAAATAAATTGGTTCATTTGTACATTAACAATTCTTGGATTATGTTGGTTTGGAAAAGTAACTTAATACAAAACAATTTCATTTTGACAGATTGCTTGGGCTGCCGAAAATTATCTGTTGTCCCAAGAATTCATTATATCATGAACAACGGATTTCCCTGCACACCCAGGAAAATATTCATTATTTGAAAAAATTTTTGTTTTTTAACCCCTGTATATAAGAAATACCAGTACTTGAAATTATTCAGTCTCTTGAGATCTCTATTCTTTATCCTACAGAAACACATATGTTTATAATGTATATGTATATTACATCATATATTATTGTATATTATGCCATACATGTGTATGACAAAGCTGATGAAAACTGTTCCTACTGTAAGCATAAAAAGAGGCAAATTACATATGCTCATTAGCACTTTGCTTGACTTCATGATTGGTTAAAAAAAATACTCATCCATCTTGGTTTCTTTCAATGCCACTTTTCTGTCTATTGAATACAACAATGCTTGATATTAGCAATGTTATGTACAGTACAGCCTGTTTGTTTATGCTGAAACTCATCAAGAATGTCTTCACGACTTGAAAATATTAGATTGCCTCACTAAATTTCAGCCCTACGCTTGAACCAGAGACAGTGTTCATTAGATGACTTCTCAATCATATCAGCTGGCTGAATCTCATTGTACAGATAATTCTTCAATTTTATATATCCTAAATGTAACAAGTGCATCATCACACTACACAAATTTTCAGAAACACACAAATATTCACATTTTTCCAATGTTTAGTTAAGTTTACAATAGATTTTGGGTAGAAAAAAATCTTTTATTCTGAGTAATGGATCTGCTATAAGGAGGTAAAATTAAATTGATTTGGCGGGGACTGGGGAAAAATACCATTGTTCCGTGATCTGTTGAAATGAGGCTCTACTGTATAGAGTTAGCTGAAAGACAATGATATATAAATCTATCAGATAATTACCAATTTATTTGCATCAGATTTTATTAGTTATTTATTTAGATTAATAGGCCGCCTCCTGTTTTTGGATTATTAGGCATTGTAATTTCAAATTTTAATAATCAGTTATACAGATTTGTTATATGATTGTTATGGTATATTTTCAAGAGATTGTTGCCATAAAAGCTATTTAAATAACAAATATATAAAAGCATTTTCTAGAATAAAATTTTAATAAAAAGAAAAATACAATAAAAAAAATCTTAAGGTTTCAGAATTAAACTAGATACTTGATCAAATTTCTTATGCTTCAAAATGTTTGGCATTAACTGAAGAAAACCATGTGAAAATACAGAACCAATAGATTTAAAATATATACTGAAAAAATAATGAAACAATGAAGTATGATTTCAGAAATATTGGTACTGGAAAAAATAAATAAAACATTTAATTGGAGAAATTTTAATACCATGTGTCAATGATCAGTATTAACATAATTAAAAATAATTTAACTGTGTTATGAAAATTTTGAATTACAGTAGACCCCCCTATAAAACGGGTTCATATAATACAGATTTGTATATAACGGTGAAAAAATTGTGGCTGTATTTGTATAAACACACTAAAAGAAACTCGTATAATACGGTAAAATGTCATTGCCGACTTGTGTCTCAACAGGATTGGTTGAATCTAGACCAATAGCGGATACTGCACAAACCGTTGAGTTTAAATGAGCATTTATTATTTAACGGCCAAAAAATTATATTTATATTAATGATGTCTCCAAAGTTCAGCAAATTTTTCACAGAAAAATAATTTATTGGGAAACACGCGCCCATCATTCGATGCACCGCTCCACGACCAAAACAAGCTTAAGCAATGGCGTTGTCAAACGGTGCACACTCTGTAAGTAATCCTACAATTTTTTTTGTTTATAGCATAGTTTATACGGATTATTCCCAAAAAATTATGTGTATTTTGGAAATGTGAGTCAAATTAGAATTGATTAATTTTATGGAAGAAAACCTTTTCAAACAGCCGTAGTTCCTAAACTGCATACATGCCGGGCTGTGATTGGCTCATGTATTTAAGTGATTGTAAAACACTAATTCATATAAAATGGAATGTATCGACTGTATTATAGGGGGGGGTCTACTGTATGTATATTGTCATCATCAAATCTGAATATATTTTTCTAAATTTTCAGATTTAATTCATTCCTCTTTGGTTTTTTTTAATACCATAAAAAGTATTAATTTAAAAGTATTAATAGTTTATTTTATTAAAAGTTTATGCTAAACTAAGCATTATTTTACTAGCAATGTATAGTAAAAATAAAGAACACTTGTGTCTAAACAACTATCAATCAAAATTTCATTAAGTATTGAGTTCAGTTTAAACATCAAAAAATATTTTATATAAATAAAGATTTTATTTATTACATTTAAAAATGTTTATTATTCATTTATAGCTGCTATTAGCCATGAGAGCTAATGTTGAAGATAGAGGTTTAAAAGATACTACCCCTTTAATGGAAGCAGCTAATGCTGGTCATGGAGATATTGTTAAACTTTTGGTTGGCCAAGGAGCAGATACCAATGCACAGACATCTCAAGGTATTATTTTAAAATAGTAAACATTTTAGATACTTAAATTTTGTAATGTAAGATTATATATAATTTGATATTTGTTTCAGAAAAAATGTTAATATTTAAATTATACATTTTCCATAAAATTTTATTTCAATAGAAGGTTTAATTTTTAAAAGTTACAGAACTCCAAAATTTCTGAAACTGTTGTTGATGACCATTCAAACAACAGTAAAGTAATTATTATTAGATGAAATTTATGTGCAGCAATAATATATTTTTATTCATGAAAACAATCTTAAGATATTGATTGATATTGTGAGTTATTAAATTTTACAAATACGTTAATTATTTAATATTTGAATTATTTTTGGTTATATTTAATAATACAAGATGCATGACTTGTATAAATACTGTACATTACTAATGTATTATATGTAAAATATGCATAATTACTATTCAAATAAATTTGAAAGTAAATGAATTTATATTAAAATTGTATTTATCAGTACATGAAAAAAATACAGAAGGAAACAATATATTTTGTGATTATATATTTACTAGGGAACATACTCAACTTCATTTATTCTGTAAATTTAAAGAATTTTCAATTATCATACTTCTGTTCCAAAAAATTGCTAGATGATTGAAAATAATTTTGTTAAAGTTGGAGACACACACACACACACACACACACACACACACACACA